GCACAGCCTGTGTTTCAATTCTAGCTCTGCTGCTCTTTAGCTGTGTGCCAAATCACCTTTTTCACTTATCTATAAACTTAGACGCTTCTCGGGGAACCAGAGGTAGCAGTCTAGAATTGGAAGAGTAGGGAGTACGAGGAGAGGGAAGATAATGGTGGGTCGGCGGGAAGTTTTTTTGGTACTAGGACTCGAACTCAGGACCTTGCGCTTGCTGGGCAAGTGCTATGCCACTGAGCTATACCCCCAGTCTGGATAGGACTTGGCAAAAAAGGCTAGGAGCTAGGAGAAGGGGCGGGAGGCAAGTTTCTTACACTGGATGGCTCGGAGCCGGGGGAAGGTGGGAGAGTCCCCAGCCCCAACCTCGAAGACGTTTCTCCTCCGGTCCAGGGCAGGTGAGGCCTGCACGGTGATGCGGTGCTTGAAGTCTGGGTTTAGGGAAAGAAGGACCAGATGAAGGTTTGTGGTGAAGTAAGCTCTCAAATTGCACCGGCCCTCGGTCGACTCCCAGGCCACACAGGCAGTGGCACAGTGGCTGCATGACCCAGGAGCTTCACTGTTCCCCCTGGGCACCAAGCTTTGGACAAGAAAAGCGGGTAGTCGGAACTCCACCCGCAAGACCGGCTCGGCCCTGCAGGAGGTTGTCCTGCGCCGCCCCGCCTCGCCCCGCCCCCTAAGCCTTCCCAGAACTTTTGAGCCCCGCCCCTTCCCGGTTGCAGCCACTCCCAGGTAGACATGCAAATATTTTCGTCAGAACCCGCCCATAATCACAAAATACATCCTGGGTCCCACCCCTTCCAGCCGTCCCCTCACGACTCCACCTACTAGTACCCTCCACTAATCCCAACGCGGCCAGAGTATAAACCTGACTCCACCCCTCCGCCCACCCAGCCAATGGGCTCTGCGGCCCTGCTGTCTCCAGCCACTGGCGAGGCGGCGCCCACGGGCCAGCCGTTTACCGAGGGGCATACTGATGCGCTCGCCGCCGTCGCGAGCCCGGAGTTTGCTGCGCTTGAAGGTGCCGCGGCGGCGGCGCACGTGCGGCCGTTCGCGGTCCACCTGCTGCAGCATCAGCGTCAGCTCGCGCTCGAACACCTCCAGTTCCCACTGGGCCAGCAGGTGCTCGCGCCGCCGCAGCTGCTCCGCCTGTGACCGCTGCTCGCGCGCCGCGCGTGTCAGCTCCTCCTCTCGGCTCAGTAGTTCCTGCGCCAGGGACAGGGAAAGGTGGTGGGGTCAGCCAGGCTTTGCCCACGGCGCCCACCTCATTCCCGGCCCCGTAGGGGCTGGGGGAACGGTCCCCCAATTCGTCGCACCTTTTCCTTGGCCCGCAGCTCGTCAAAGAGGTCTTGGATCTCGCGTTTCCAGCCTTCTTGCATGGAGTGGAAGGAGTCCCGCGGCATTTCCCGTAGGACCTGCGCCTCTAGCGCCTCCAGCTGCTGCAGGATGGAGGCGAAGTCGGGCCTACGGTGGGGGTCCTGTGCCCAGCAGTCTAGGGGCACAGCGGGGAGGGGAGGCAGAATAAGAAGGGGGTCGATCTGTGGCTGGATGTGTCCTGGGCCGGAGAGTTCTGCCCCTCCTCCACCCATCCTGGCCTCTTACCGGCCATGAGCTGTGCGAAGGGCTCGGGGCAGGTGGATGGGATGGGTAGTGTGAGCTTGTTAACAGCCACACCGTAGGCCACAGCAAGACAGTCGATACCACGGTAGGGGACCTCGCCAGTCAGCAATTCCCACAGCAGCACCCCAAAGCTGTGCAGGAGACAAAGGGCCGATGTGTCCCCCCACCGCCCACTTTCTGCCATTTTACCCTAAAGCGATGAGAACTAAATAGTTTGGGTCCCTTCTCTTGGGCTTATCCCTGTCTGCCTGGGGTTAGGCAAACACTTCTGCCCTTTACAGCCCTACAGCAGACCCTGCCCAGCCCCCCCACAACCGCACCTCCAAACGTCGCTGCCCTTAGAGAAGGTGGAAGCCTTGATAACTTCAGGAGCCATCCAAGCATAGGTGCCCGCGGCGCTCATCTGCGTGGTTTTGTGCCACTCTCTGGCCAGGCCAAAGTCAGTGATCTTCAGGGTTTTGTGCTCCATGTCATCACCCTCAATAGGGTGCAGCAGCAGAACTGGGGAAGAAGTGGTGCAGGACCGTGAGGGTCCCAGATTCAGGTGCTAGGGGACAGGGGGAGAGCTGGGAGCAAACTATCATTTGCCAGAGATGTCCTGATACTGGGTAAAGAGAGTCTGTATCTTGTCCTGGAGACCTCATAGCTTGTGGGGGGGGTGTTAGACAAAAAATAACAATTCTGGGACACATTTACCCAGGGTCTCCTAGAGGCCAGATACTTCACACTTAGCTGCAGCACTCAATAAATAAATAAATAAATAAATAAATAAATAAATAAATAAATAAATAAATAAATAATCACCAGGTGTGGTGGTGCCTATCATCCCAGCCCTCAGGAGGATGAGGCAGGCAGATCGCCATGAGTTTGAGGTCAGCCTGAACTACATAATGAGATTATCTCCAAAAAGGAGGTAGACAGTATTTCTATTTTACAGATAAGGAAACAGCAGGGAAATTACAAGGCCATACAGGAAGCAGGGTCAAACAGCAAATAAAACAAATTTCAAATTGCTCTGTGTTTCCAAAGCTACTGCTCTCTCCAATTTTATTTTGAGATCAGGTCTCACTAAATTGCCGAGGCTGGCCTTAAACTTGCAGTGTTCCTGACTCAACCTTCTGAGCGTTTGGGATTACAGGTGCACGCCACCTCATTTGGCTGCTCTAACTTTCCCTAGCACTTGAATAAGTTCCCTAGCAGTTGAATAAAAACTGGCAATGAGGCATGTTCTTGGTGTTTGAGGCTCTGACTTCAGGAGAAATCTTTGAGTGTTCTGTCAATTTGCTGAAGCAGGAGTGTGAATCAGAACCCCCCTGGGGGTGGGAACAGGAGGGAACCCCTGGGTGAGCAGAAGCCCAGTGGATGCCACAAGCCCCAGTACCCACGTCCTGTGGTGGCTAGTGCAGCCACTCCCAGCAAAGACCTGGGATAGCTGCTGAGGCAGCTGGGTGTGAAGAGGACGGGAAGGGTGATGGTTCTGGGCCACAAAGGAGGAGCTTTGGGCAAATGTAGGAGTGCATGGCCAGACTTGGCAGGGGCTCCTGGCTTTGACCCAAATGGGGCCACCATACTCAGTACAGGGACGCGAAGCAGCAATTTGCAACTCTCTTGACAGGACAAAAACAGCTCAAATGAGAGTTTAGAGGAATACAGAAGACAAAGTCATAGGCTCATCGAAGATCCCAAAAGCTTTCTATTTCCAGTTATTGACAGCTATGTAGAGAAGGGACATCTGTTTCTACCCAGCTCTCCTGCTGAGGGCACCGGTGCTGTGACAGGGGCAGCATGGGTACTGGGGGTGGGGCAAAGGGGAAGTCTCCTGCAAAGCCAGGTGAGTCAGGAGGATGTCTCAGAGGAAGTGGCAACCAGGTGTTCGTCTTTGTGGGACTAAAACCATAACCCCAGATCCTGCTGCTGACCAAGCCTTGTAGGTCTCCTGTGAGAGACCTGGTGATGCCACCCAACCCCTTGCCATTGTCCTTGGCTCCTCAGAGCCTAGCCTCTCCTTGGCCTCTGAGCACTGCCTCCAAGCTACCCCCTTTCAGGTACCACCTCCCCCTTCCCACTAGCATCTTCGACACTTGGAGCTCTAGGCCAGACAGAAGCCGATCCCACTGCCTACTTCTCCTGGTGCCCACCCACTCATGACAGCCTTCGTCAAACCTCTGAGCCAGCAAACTTCCCGGCAACTTCTCCGAATTGAGAAAATGGCCTCAAAAACCACCCACTTCTCTGAGCCGGCCTGGCACTGAGTCCTGCACACTTAATACTGAGAATGGGGC